CACAGGCCCTCCTGCCTTCAGTCTCACCTTCCTTCAATCCATTCCCCAAACTGCATGTATAGCATTCAGAACATAAGAACGAAGTTTCCTTGCCCTTAAATTAAAACTCCTAGTTTATCTTATAATTTATTATCCCTCTGACTTCCATAATTACCCACTTCTACTCATCTTCAACTTTATACTCTAGCCATTCTGAATTGCTGGATATACCAAGGTTCTCCTTGCCCCCTAGGTCTTCCACATGTGGTTCCTAAGGCACACTTTTCCCTTCCTCCTTGGCCAACTCCTACTTACCCTTTACACTCAACTTAGACATCCTTTCAGGAGTCTTCCACTGACATACTCTCTCCCATAGTACTCCTAGAGTACTATGATTAGGAGTAGCCAGGACTTCCTCAGATCATAGTGGACATCCCACTGTATCCCTCACCATCTTGTGAGTTGAAAGACTCTGACTATTTTTGTTCATTCTTTTTGTGTGCGGTATTTTACAAGGTGATTGGGACATTGTGGGAGTTCAGTAAATATCTGTAGAATTAATGAATTCCATAACGGGCACTGAGGAGAGTTCAGAAATTTTCCCATTACTGGGGGCTTCATAAACCTAAGATGGAAGAAAATAATTTTTTATTTTAATATCTAGGCTGTTTTGCTTTTGGTATGACCATAAATACACCTATTTTCTGAACTAAACTTTTTAAAGATACACTCTTCAAAGAATACCAAATCACTTTTGATAAAATATTTAAAGCAGGGGTGCCTGGGTGACTCAGTCAGTTAAGCGTCAGGTCATGATCTCACGGTTTGTGGGTTCAAGCCCTGTGTCGGTGTCTGTGCTGATTCCCCCTCTCTCTCTGCCCCACTGTGCCTCTATTTCTTAAATATAAATAAACATTTTAAAAAAATGAAAAAAGAACATTTAAACCAGGTTTGAGATTTGACACTACTACTAAAGAGCTGAAAATCCTCCAAATTTGCAAATCCGTCACCTTCCTTTCTTATTATTTGTGTACTGTGTTTCCATCTGCAAGGAATACAATGTATTAAAGCTTTATGAATTCATGGTGGAGAAAAGGTTTGTTGACCCTTCTCAGTCTAAAAAATTACTGTGATTTTGTTTGTTTGTTTTGTTTTTTTGGTCTGGTTGAGGTAGACCATACTGATTGTCTTAAGTAAACGAGAATTAGTAATTGAGGGCTGTGGTTGGAAAAAAAAAGTTAATCAGCTTCTTTCTTAACAAGTTAGAATATATACAGATCACGGTGGGGGGTTCCGGACTGGGTCCCCGGGACTCTTACCAAGTCAGACACAGCCCTATAAAGTCAACCTTTGTCAATACCCAGTACCCTGGAAACTCATTTTGGCTAATTTTTAAGAAAACTTTATAGATAGCTAACTCCATCTCTTACTTTTCCTAAGTGAACATTCCTACTTACTGCTGGTCTACGTACACACACGCGCACACACACACACATACACACACACACACTGTCCTCAATAATTTGTAGAATCATCCTCATCTTCTGTCATCTTAAGTACTGAGATACGGAAAAATAGATCTTTTGAAAGTATTTCGTAATTCTGGTTTAAACTATATGTGTGCGTATCTACCTATCATTTGCTAAACTTGTAAGTACTATGTATCCTAGGAGTGAAACAAACAGAAAAATTATTGTCTTCATGGTGCGCACATTCTAGCAGAAGGCAGTAAATAAATACACAAACAAGCAAACAAAATAATACTGTCAAATAAGAAAGCTAGAAAAAAATGTAGAAGTTATTTGGGAACAGCATTTGGGGGAAGAGTAAAACAAAGGAATGTGTGTTTGAGAGGAGTCAGGAAATCCTGGAGAAGGTAAGATTTCAGTAAAGGTTAAAGGCAGTGAAGACACAAACTGTGCAGACATTTAGGGAGCAGAGGTAGGGGTATCCTGGAAAAGAAAGAGCAAGTGCACAAGCTCTGAGGTAGGAGCCTCCAGGAATAGTGGAGAAGCATCAAAGAGGTCAGTGTAGCTGAAGGGGTAGGGGGCTGAAGGTGGAGACGAGAGCTGAGGTAAGAAGCTAGATTGAAGAGCCTTGTAGCTCAGGCTTGTTTTATCACTAAATGTCGTATTTACTGGAATGGAAGAAATTTTATTTTTCCCACGTACTATACCTTTAAAAAAATTAAGCGCTGACCCATATTCCCCAGCTGACAGTTACGGCTTTTGCCCACCTGAATTTTGAACCTCATCGGTGTCAGCTGCGAGTCCAGTAAACATTTCACCCTGTTGGCTCGCCCCTGCCATCTAGTGGTTAACGCCTGAAGTTACCAGAGTTTCTGACCACACAGAAGACTGTGGGGGAAGGGCACAGGGAAGGAGGCTCATTTTGGGCAGAATAACAATAGGTATGAAAAGCTTTCTGAAACTACCGTAGGGGGATGAAGAAGTCTAGGGTGCAAATAGCTTCATCATTGGTTTGTATCAAGATTAAATCAGAAAGAAAGCCTGAATACTATCGCACCCCATTTTATGATACGTATTTCAAATTTCATCAATAGAACTAAAGAAAATAGAGTTCAAAACATTGAAAAACAAAAAAAAGTACAAGTGAGGTGAATATGAAGGATTACAAATGAAGAGTTAATGAGGAAGATAATGGACAGAAGTTGGGTGTATAGATGGAACAAAAAAAATAGTAATCAAGTGTAATGGTATTAATTACTGCTATATCTGTATTAAAAATAGACTAGTTGTTTTACATAGAACTCAGTATGTAATGAACTATGCATGATGTAGTTTGTGAGTTTTAACATTTACTATGATTTTCCTCTTTTTTATATTCAATAGTAGTTTTGGTTGACATTTACAGAAACATAGGAGAATGTGACCTCGTGTAGAATATTTGGAGGATGACAATTAATTCTGTGTGGGTGATCCATAGGAGAATAAATATAAGGCATAACTGAAATGCTAGCTTGAAGCTTGCTAGAAGGGCCTTTTTTTTTTTTTTTAAATCACAGAAACCATAGTTATCTTTATCCTGTCAGTACTGGAGAACCATGGAAAGGTTTCAAGCAGCAAGTTATGGGATTAAGCTTCATTTTGGAGATTACTTTGTTAATGTGGCATGAAAATTGGATTACAGGTAGAAGATGCTAGGGAATAAATAGTTCCACTTTATATCCAGTTCAGCTCAGAAAGCAGGCATCATCCTTAACCCCTTGGTCCCTCATTCCCCCCATCATTTTGTATACCACTTTCTAAATTTATCTTGCATCCACCTTTTCTTCATCCTACCTAAAGCTACTATCGCTTCAGTGCCCAAAGCACTGCATTAGCCTCTTCAGTTGTCTTGCCCCACCTACTGCTCTCCCATCTCTTTTACCCAGGAAAGCAAACTGATCCTCTTATTATTAAAAACGGAATCGTGTTGATCTTTTGTTAAACCCTTCTGTGGCTGGCTGTGAGGCCCTGCAGGCACCATTGTTAGCCTGTCTACCAGCCCATCATTCCATACTCCTAAAAGTGTTCCCTGCGGCTCCACTGGAGGCCAGAGGGGTGAGGCTAGCCTGGCCCTTTCCTAAGACCCAAGGGCAGGACTTGCCAGAGTCTGGCTTGGGAGTGGTGGTGATGAATACAGATGGAGTCGCCATAAATCAAAAACCTAAAACAAACAAACAAACAAACAAACAAAAAAACATTGCAAACACATGGTATAACTCAAATGGAAGTAAAGACAGCCCCCTACAAGGCTCCCTCCTCCAGTACTGTAAGAATAAAAATAACACAAAAATAAATTAAGGGAAGCAGCAGTTACCACCAGCCAAGCAGGTGCAACCTGCCACTTCCACACTGACCACAGAGGTTAGCAAGCTGGGAACCACTTTGTTCAGTTTGTCTGATCCCCACCCAGGAAAGAGCAGAAGTTTCTGGCCCTGCTACCCCAGATAAATAAAATATTGTTTCAAGATCATAATGTCTCAAACTGTATTCTTCCCCACTAATAATTATAATGTATCCTAAATGAGCTCATAAAGTCTGAAGTAGAGGAGATTAGATTAGCATGGGTTAAATAGCATATTGTCCTTAAAGGAAGACATTTCTCCCAGGAAATGACACTCATGAATATATTAGGTGCCTATTATCTTTGGTCCTTATTTACTTGTTAAAGGTATTTATATAATCATATATTGATTCATTTATTTATTCAATTTGGAGCAACTTCTGTGTGCCAAACTATTAGGTACAAGATACAGAGATGAGAAAACAACAGGATCCCAGGAAAACAGTGAACACAATTAGGTGAAAATATAAAGGGCAGTGCTGTGTGAAAAGCACAACAGTAGGTGTGTCTAGAGAAAAGACTAGTTCTGTCTAGGAGCACGGTGTGAGGTTTAATACAAAACACAGTGCAGATAGACTTCACAAATCCTTTGGCTTTCTATTAAATTATTTCTGGGATACATCTGTTATTCTTGAAATGCCTTTTAAGTTTCTCATCTCATAATTCAACTGAGTTTTTGAAAATTATAAGGCTAAAAGATCAAATTGGTTTATTTTTACATGATGTAGTATGATTGACATCATTGCCCTTGAATGAAGAATGAAAAGCTATAGATTTTTGCTCTTTATGTTTATTTCCTCTTAACACTTAGAGCTAATAATTCTAATATGGCTTTCAGTTTATTGCAAATCATTTTATTTCACAACGTTTCAAAACATCATGAATATTGGAAAGATTTTTTATTTACATGTTTGAATGTAATGTTCAATTTATAACCAAATTCAAATGACTTTTTAAAAAAGTCTACACAGTAAGCACTTTCAAAAGAAGCACATTTTTGTGAAGATTTTGTAGGTAATGAAATGAAACCTGGTGTTTTTTTTTTGATTATGAAGACATTACTAACATTTCAGTAAATGATATACTTTAAAGAAAATGAAAGAGCTCTGCAGACAGAGATGCATTTGAGGACTGTTTATTGCCAATATTTAGAAATTTGTTTTAAATTTCAGCGCCTTATGAAATATGCCCAGAGGATTACTTGATGTCGATGGTGTGGAAAAGGACCCCGGCAGGCGACTTGGCATTCAATCAGTGCCCACTGAACGCCACAGGTAAAGTACGAATGACTCACCCAAACCCAAATGATGATCGCCCTCCAAGAACAGCATGCTATGTTTGCTTATGAAGTCATGCTTTTGTCCTATATCCTATATCCATAAATAAATCTGTCCAGTAAGCAATAAAACAATTTTAGTAAAGTGCTTCATAAATGGAGCCAATGAACAGACCTAGAAATTATTGCTGATGCAATGGTTTCTCAGTATGATTAACATGCACTATAAAAATAATCAACGTAACACTTTTATATGCATGTTTTTTAAGGCAAGAAAATGTACAAACCTAATTCTTTAGCCTGCCTTCCAATTATGTGATGCCTTCTAGCATCTCTGTTACAAAGCTTCTCTCTGTTCTTCGTGACACACAGGCACCACTAGCAGACGCTGCTCTCTCAGTCTTCATGGAGTGGCCTTCTGGGAACAGCCGAGCTTTGCAAGATGCATATCCAATGAGTACAGACACTTGCAGCATTCAGTAGGTGCAAAGCCAGCTTTAGTACTTGCTCTGTTTATTTTTTCCTAATGATCACTGTGTGAGAATTTAACCTTCTGCTTTATAGTCAAAGCCGCCAAAATCACCGAAAAATGCCTAAAGGAAAAAGTGGTGTGACAGAAAGCTCATTTTTATAAGTCAGTGCTAAACTGTTTTGTTCCTGGGGTTTAAGTTTTTGGGGATCCTGCTATTTACATGAAAGGATTCCTTGTCTAATTGGGATGAGGCCTGAGCAAAATATGTTATTCAGTTTTATCTATAAGAATTAAACTGTATATCAAAATTAGAACAAATCTGTGTTAAATTGTGTATAAGACATTTCAAAATACTGTGCATTTTAAAATTATATTTCTTAGTAGTTGGGAAGTGATAAGTGGTGTCACTTAGGTATCAAATTTCTCACCGCATTTTGACAGCAAGACATTGAAAAAAAGGACAGTGTTATTGCACCAAAGAAAATTAATTACTTGCAGAAGATTAAGTGGACCAAATTTTTCAAAAATTGCCCCTCTGTTCCCACACATCACTGATTTTTTCACAAACTATGATGTATGAATATTTTGAGCACAGTTAAATTTTGCTTGGTGTTTTACAAGTGCAAGTCATTGTCATTATTGGAGGCTGTTGTTATTTCATCCTGACAATCAAGAGGAACTCTATCAATGAATAAACATTGTGGAATTTAGAACAAATATGATCATGAGCCAGCTGGAAAGTTGAACATTGGCAGGGATGATGTTTAGTTAAGAGCCTTCAAGTTTTATTATGCTTATGTTTTCTTCTAATTCTTTTTTTTTATTGTCACTCACAAATATGTATAATTCTTAAAAAAAACTGAAGATTCTTGCTTGTGGATGGAAATTCAGTTCATACAATAATAACTCATATTATTGATGTAAACATATTTGATTATCAAAAGAAACAAAAAAAATCACATTAAAAATATCTTAAAACTAAATGCTAACATGTTTACTTACCAAATCAATAATAGTAATTGAATTGATGATTATTGACCACTTAGAGCCTTATTTCTGTTATCTATGTATATATTCCTATGTGTATATTCCATATACAGATATGACATTGATATAGATATAGATATAGATGATATAGATAGGGGAGTTACAGAGAAGTAGTGACATACATGTCAATATACGCTGGTTACCCACAAATACCTACATTTAAAAATATATATTTCAGTTCAGCTCATGATCTCATGGTTTGTAGGATTGAACCCTGCATATGACTGTGCTGACAGTGCAGAACCTACCTAGGATTCCCTCTTTCTCTCTCTCTCTGCCCACCACCCCTCCCCCTGCTGTTTGCTCGCTCTCTCTCTCTCTCTCTCTCTGTCTCAAAAATAAATAAGTAAACATTAAAAATAAGATTAACCAAAAATTTCCTTATGAATTTAATTTTAATGAATTTTATTTTTCCCTAATTTTAGACATTTAATTTTGTTTACTTAATCTTAGTAACATCACTATTCGATTCTTGTTAATCCACAGTAATGAATGAGAATAATTGCAGGGAATAAGTAAATCATAAATTAATCCTTATGAATTTGTTAATAAGTAATATCACTTTTTTGCAGAAAATTTTTACTTCCTAAATTCAGTGTTTTATATGGTAATATGCAATGAGTTTTCATTTCATTTGATAATGGAGAGAAACAGAAACACTGTGTGAAATAGAAGAATTGATATCGAACTGTGAATTCCATAGAAATCATTCAGTCAGTAATTTGACAGCCAATGTGTATATGTGTTGGCTGACTTGCATACATAAGTTAGATGCATGATACTGTAGAATATAAAGCAGTCTCAGTGTGTTCAGCTCCTACAAAGTGCTAGACACTCAGCCTGGGCACTTTGATAAACCAATTCTGTACCCACAAGAACCTGCAAGGTGGATACCTCTGCCTCGGTTTGCACAGAAAGAAAGTCTACAAGTGAACAGTACAGTTTTGTGAGGCAAAGAGTGCAAGTTGTGTCCAGCTACAATTGTTCCTCTTTTCTGGAGGCCACGTGACCACTTGAGTTTTTGATTTGAAATCATCTGCCCTAGATTCTGGTATTGAGAACACCATTTTTGGGTGATGTGTTTTTTGGAAAAGCCATGTGATTTCAAATTTTGGCTTTGCAAAATGCAGTTGATAACATCATTTTAACATCTCTGGAAGTTTCAAGGAAGAGCAGATGACATACTATATGTTAAATGCTTACAAATTGTAAAAGAACTTTTGTAACTATGAGGTATTAATATGTACATATTCAGAATATACATTGAGTTAAAATATTATCTTAATAAGAGTAAAATTTTAGAACTCAACCTAGTATTAATGTGAATTACACATTTGGAAAAATAATACAGATGGAGGAATAGATAGGTAGATAGGTAGATAGAGGGATGGATGTATAGAATTGATGTCACATGAATTATGTTTATACACCTATACAAAAATAGACACACACTTACAGATGGATATATATACACACATCTAGTACTTACCTAGGGATCATGATCTCCTTTACATGTTTATGGAAGTATAGGACCAACTATGTCTTAAAATAATGCTTACCTAATACATCAGCTTCATCATGTGTACTCAATACAGTCAATAGGAGATGGAAATGAAACCAGCTTCCCTTCATACTCTTATTCCTATTGCTTCCCATGCTGTCTGAGTAGCAAACGTAGATAGTGCTTGTGATGTAGAATGGTTCTGATTCCCACAGATTCTAAAATTACTTTGAAGATGTATCTCCTTCTTTAGTGGAATTTATTATTTCACAACTTAATTGTTCTATTTCCTTTGAAGGATTTCATTCTTTGCCCTCTCTATAATCAGAAAGGTCATTAAGTGTTAATTGTTATCTAAATAGGTAGATCTATGTTTTCCAGTTCTTTTACATATAGATTACAATACATGTATATATACGCATAGATTACAATATTTTAAATACCCATTTTACAAAATTACAGTGATAAACCAAGTTCGAAATGACTTTTTATCATCAATAAACATTAGTTGAGTTTGTTCTATGAATTCTCATAATTATAACCCAGTCGAGATAGACTGGGTTGGTTAAGCAGTTTAATATATAAAATCACTAATCTATCACATTGAACATTTAGTTTGATTTCTTTGAAGGTGGAGACCATGTGGGCTTTTTAAAAAAATATGGCAGCTGGAGGGTTCTCAGGTGATACGCCAGGCTTAATGTTCATGAATTTTAACTGCATGAAATTAATAAGTATTATCCCTCATGTGCAATTTTCCTAACCCAAAAATATCTAGAAATGTGGAGTGATTGATGATATTATTTTATGAAATTATTTGGCCATTGCAGAAGAATTTCATTAAGTTAATAATCATGAATTTGTTTGAAACCTTATAAGCTATAAAATTAAACATGATCCAACTATTATTTATTGAAAAGACAAGCCACAAACGAATGCACACAACTTTTAAAAATTGAGGATAGAAGAATAAAGTGTAGTGGGATTCTTGAAATTTTCATATTTTCTCTTATATTAATATTTCCCTTCATATTCTGGGATATTTTCTGAATTTTATACCAAGCAAAGTAGAAATAATTATACAACCTGTTGAGAAACAGGCACAGGAGTCAGGAAAATTGAGAAAACATTTTCTTGTTGCTCATAAAGCTCTTTGAAGAATAAGGATGAATATTGTGGGCAAAGTGGGCCAGCCTCTCCTGTATGAAATAGACAGATCAACCTATCTTTGGTACACCTGGGCAATCACAGGCAACTTCTTCCTACCTCAGTCATCTCCCTCTCTCTCTTCTCTTTCTAATTCTCTCCCTCCCTCTGTCTCTTTTACACACATACAAATACATGCTTACACACACACACATTCTCTCTCTCTCTTTCTCTCTCCCCCATCCTACACTTGAAGTGACAGACTGCATATAACTAGCAGGATATATACTCTCTGCATGTAGAGAATTCTAAAGCAAAAGTTGAACCACCACACATACCATGTCTTTTCCTAAATTCACCTGGTATGTGTCATTCATTCTTCCCTGGAGAGGAATGAGGGATGGGATTGAAAAAGATCAGGTATTACTCTAGTAGAAGTCCTTCCATATGGAAATATGTGGAATTGGGTATAAATGTTCCCTTTTAAGTATTGTCCCTTAACACCCTTGTTTCTGTTTTTCAAATCTTCATTTAACAAACAAAGAGGGGCACCTGGGTGTCTCAGTCTGTTAAGCAACTGATTTTAGCTCAAGTCATGATCTCAGGGTTTGTGAGTTCGAGCCCCATATCAGGCTCTGTGTGACAGCTGAGTGCCTGGAGGCTGCTTCATATTCTGTGTCTCCCTCTCTCTTTCTGCCCCTCCCCTCCTTGTGCTCTGTCTCTGTCTGTCTGTCTCTCTCTCTCTCAAAAATTAATAAACATTTAAAAAATGGGAAAAACCCCCACAAATACAGAAGTGACAGTAATAGTCCAAGTGATTGAAAGATTGACTTTGTGGGAAGGGATGTCAAAGCGTTTGAATCTTGATTTGAAGACTTTGTTTCTCCTGTTTTTGTCTAATTTTATGGGTAGTTTCTTAGGACAGAGAGATAAAAATAGACATCTTTCTTTAGGGGAAGTTTGAGGGGAAAGGAGAGAGACATAGAGGGAAAGAGAACACAAGGGTCAAAGACAGAGAGAACTCAGGATCTGAGCTCAACCTCATAATTCCACAGTATTTAACATGTGGTCCTGAATAAAATTAGAGCTCACTGTTTAGCAAATGGTAATAACTCACATTTATTGAATACTGTCTACCCTAAAGGAGCTGATGGGAAAAAAATTAGAAGTAATATGTTAACTAAATATTGATGTTCTAAGTAATTCATAGGTCAAAATTCACAGTATATTTCAAGGAGAACATAGTGAATATCTTAGACTTTACATTCCATATGGCATCTGTTCTAACTATTCAACTCTGTTGTTGTTAACAC